CCCCAAAACCCCAAAACCCCAAAACCCCAAAACCCCATTAAAGAACATTTATTTTTAATGTTGAGGAATTAAACAATAGTGAAGTTAGATTTATTTAGTATTAAATGTTAATAAAATTTCAATTATCTCTTGCAGTGGCTACCTTAATCAATGTTTTTATAGAAGGTCTTCCTCTGACAAATTTCTCATTCGTTTTTGAACTTTATCTGAAGTTTGAACTTGTATGAGATTGCAAATTCTGCTGGTACTATTGGTTGTCGAATTTAAATTTGTTCATTTAAGAGGTATCCGAGGGAGTGAAAATTGTGTCAATGTTGTCAATTATACTCGTTCCAGTTCCAGAGTTAATTATATTTGAAACGTTTCGATACTATTCTGGTTGAGTCATTGGTCGTTACTAAATTTGATTCTATCCTGATCTTTAAACCCCAGTCATATTCACCCTCTTTTCATAGACAGATTTAAGCACCTCTTATGTAGTATCATCCTTTATTTCTCCACTTCTCTTGCTTGAATGTGTTGAAGGAGGTCTCTTTTATGGTTCCATGGAAGTTCCTTGATTCATTTATCCTCTTAGCCTTTGTCTAGATGCTTATTAATGTTTTTATAGGGCAGTTGTAGGCTAGCTTTGACCACTCATTATTCTTTGTCCTATTGAATCTTGTCTGTTGAAGTTGTTAGTTGATATTGTGCCTTTTGAATTATTTTGTCCATTACTTTCGTAAATATAGTCAGTTGTGGTCTTTCTAAGAGGAAATTTGTCATAATTCTCATCATCTTCGTTCATGTTAGAATTTCTTTTGAACATACCACCTATTCTTGTTTGGTTTTCAGGCCCCTCTTCTTCCATAATAGCTTCGGTGTTCGGAATCATATGTCTATATTTGTGAGCAGCACTCTTGATAACTCTATCATAGTCTAGAATATTACTACCACTTCCAATATTGATTCCATCTTAGAAATACAAATCTCCCTAACTATTTCCAATAGTAGATGTCATTCCTTATGAAGGATCTCTCATAAGATTAATACCACTCATTCCCATAGTAGTTGTTGTGTTAGCAGCACTAGCTATTCTAGGCTTCTTTTAAGCACTCACTGAATTTTTATGAGTAGATGCCTGGGTTGTGCTAAATAATACTTATTAGGGAAGATTGTAATTTGCAATTCCTTCTGTTTGTAAATTTCTCTCCTTTTACTTAATTTTCTTGGTTTAAATACCTCTATTCATCAAAGCCCCTCTTGTTCTCCTTCCAGATTCATTGTCATTAGCTCCACTACCCATCTCTAATGATGCTTCAAGAAGTTTTATTTTTTCTGCCATTATATTGTTTTATTGCTCCAAAGCTTTTTACTCTTCAATCTATTTCTCAAGTAATTCTATTTCCTCATGCATTTAGTCAATTTATCTACTGTATTGCTAGCATTGATAATCTAAATCTCCACTTTTTTCTATTTCTTTTTTTAGAGTTTCTGATGTTGATCCAAATTTTCTACCTAATTCATCAAAACCTTCTTAAAGTTTATTTAAGTCAACTAATAATCCATCTCTTATCTCTGTCATCTTTATTAATTAATCTGAAGTTAAATCAAGGTTCATCTATAGATCATCATTATGTTCAAATAGTCTTCTAGTGTAACTTCTCAAATCTTCAAATTCTATATCCTTGCAATATACCTCATAATCTAATCTTGTATGAAGTTTATTGTATTCATCTCTAAGCTTCTTAATGTAAATTTTATGCTGATCCTCCACAGTTCTAAGCAATTCTGTCTTTGTATAAAGATCCCTTTCTATAGTTTCATTCCTAGCCATTAACTGAGTAAGATGATTTTGAAGACCATCATTAGAATCCTTAGTTTAATCTCTTGATCTATAGTGGTAATTATTTATATTGGAGAAACTTACTTCTAAATAGAGTCAATTACAATCTCTAGATTTTTAATCTTGAGTTAGGCATCTTAAAGCTATCCTTTTGTAGATAACAGATCAGTATTTGTAGTTATATGCTGTTTCTATTCTCTCTCATACCTGTTTATCCACATCTCTCTAGTATCTTTTTCAGCAGATACCAATTCATTCAAATTTTAGATTTTATCTAATAGTTGTTTTCTCTGAATCTCAGATTACTTATCAAGAGATTTTTTCTTGATCTCTAAGCTATCATTCTACCTTTCAACTTCCTGCAACCTTTTCGATAGTTTGTCTATCTCCTTCCTTTGCTTATCAATCTAATAATCTCTGTCTTTAATAATTTCATTAAGTTAGTGAGTAAGATTGATCTTATCGGTAAGTTATTCCTCCTTTTCATTTCTAACTTTGTTCGATATCTTCAATTTATCCGAAACTGATTCATAATCAAATTTAAGGTTTGAAAACTCTTCAGATATATGATCATGATGAACTTTAAGACTAGTGTGTTCCTTATCAAGGATATCATAGTTTCTAGTTAGTATCTCAAATTCTTCTCTAAGTTTTTCAATACGGTCATCTCTATCTTTTTTAATTTCTTAAATACCAACTAGCTGTTTTTTATACTCTTACATCTCTTAAAACACACTTTCATGAAGCCTTTATAATCTGTCGCATTTTTCTTTAAACTGCTCTTTTTAGTCTTTGTTCTCTTTGAGAGTTAACTCTAAATGATTTTTTTCACTTGTCAATCCATCGATTAGGGCTCTATTTGCATCAATTTTAAGTCGCATCTCGTTTACCATTTTCTCAGCTGTTTTCAAACTCAGATTTTTCTGTTCTATATCTGAGTTTGCTTTGCTCACTTTAACCTCTAAATCATTTATTTGTCTAAGCTTAAGCTCATTTTCTTGGACTAGTTGCTTGATTCTCTCAGTCTGGTAAGTAATTTTACTTTCATTTTCAACTTTCTCTGATCTTAACTCAATCAGTTCTGCTTTTTGGTCAGATACTAGCTTGCTAAAAGTGTGATTCTAGTTTTCTAGTTGATAAATATCCTCAAGAGATCTTTGATATTTAGCATGTAAATCTCTATGAAGTGCGTGCATGTTGTTTAATTTAGACTCAAATTTAAGTCTTAATTACACCTCTTCTTCATGTGTTTTAACATTTTTAGTGAATTCTTCTTCTATCTTTTTTCTTAAGAAGGTTTCCTCTTCTTTTTATTTTTGAAGTTCATCCTTTCTCTACTATAGATTTTCTAAAGATTCTTTAAGATTTCTTTCATTTTCAGACATTCTTTCTACTTGTTGATTAAACTAAGATTCTAATCTCTCAAGCTCCTCTTTATGTTCCTTAGAGATTTTGGATATCAGCATTTAGTAGTTTGATTTACAGCAGTATTCAAGCAATATTGCAAATACCTTCCAAATAGATGAGAGTAAAGTATATCTGTTTTCAGCATGGTGAAGTGATTTTTATAGCATTTCATAAAAGCCAATACTGTAAACGAAAAGTCCTCTATAAATTCTATCAACAAACTCATTAGGTATTCCAGCATTCTATAATACATGTTATTAATTAAAAATGCAAGAGTGTTTTGTAAAAGTAGGCTACTTACAGTTAAAGTTAGACGATCGATCATATATCTAGAAATTGGATTTTTATGCTCGGGTTTCAAAACAACTCCTGGAATATCCAAATGTTCAGCATCTAAAAGGGTCTCATTTATCCAAGTTTCAATAACTTTAGGATTAAGTTTAGTGGACGATTCTCTTGCATTATATATGTCTTTTATCCTTGTCTCAAAGCTTTGATTTATAGCATTTTCATGAACTCCAATGTTCATTACTCTTTGCTAATGCTATATAGTATTTGCTTAGTAGCCTACTGTAACTCCAATTGTTTTATTAAGCTCTGTTGGAGATAGTTATTGCTTTATCCTTCTTTTATTTGGGTGAGCTGATTTTGGTTTATTTTCATGCCGAGATCGAATAGCTTATTCATCTTAAACAAACGAAAATTTGTCACTTAAATTTGGTAGTAATCCTCCTTCGCCAGTGAAGTTATTAGTAGTCAAATTATTGTACTTTATTTATGGATCATTTGAGACTCTTCCTCTTTGATTGAGTTGCTACCTTAGATCCAAAGCTGAAGAATTAGGTCTAGGGGAAACGTTTTAAATTAATTTCTGCGCTTACTAAAGAAGTACATGAAATAAAATGAATTACCTAGATCTATTGGATTCCATTTTCGCTTATTTTGTTGTTGGCGATGCTTCTTATGATTTGATTTTAAAGATTCACACTAGCTTGAACAATCTAAAGTGATATTTCAAAATTTAAAGAGTTAACTTACATCGTTCTTTACAAAGCGATCCTTTCTACTCATTTTTCTATAAGTATTTTAAATATTTCTTAATAATTTATCATTTAATATTATTTTCAAGATGATTTAATCAACTGAGCAGTAGCTAGGGAATGATTTGCCTACTGACACTATACCTCCAGAGCTAAAATAGTATTTCTTTACTAATACGGAAATGCCTAACCTATTAACTGATTACGATGTGCTTGGATTTGATGCCGATCATTGTGTAGTGAAGTACAACACAACCCCACTAGTTGAGATGCTAGTTGAAAGTGAATTAGATGAGCTTATTGAGATGGGGTATCCGAAGGCTATTAAAAACTTCTTTTTCTAAGAATCTCCTTTAGAAATGTGCGTCAATGGAGCAATCTATGATATTGACAATGGTTTAGTTGTAAAATTAGTTGAAGGACAAGAAGTTGCAAGAGCTATGAGAGGTTGGAGAAATCTTAGTCAGAAAGAAATTAAAGAGATATATGGAAACCCTCCTATTCTCAAAAGCTATGTCTGGCCAAATACCTCTAATTTATCAGGAAAAAGAGGTAGCTACTGGGTATGTATAACCTTTTTTGACACTCCAAAAGTTGCTCTAGTTTTGAGTGCCATAGAAATGATGGATCAAGGTCTTTTAAAAGGAAAAACATACTTTGATGTAGCAGAAGATATTAGGACTATAATATACAATAACTACATTCATTTCAGTGAGAAAGAGGTAAAGAAAATAGGATCTTACGGTCGATTCTTCCCAACGATTGTTGAAAATCCAGCAAAATATATTTAATTCTAGCCCTCACTAAGAAAATCAATTCAAAAGCTGAAAGACAATGGAAAGAGATTATTCCTTGCAACTAATTCTCACACTGAATACTCAAATTTAATAATGACTGCCACGTTAGGTGACGATTGGAAAGACTTCTTTGACATTGTCTGCTGCTATTGTAGAAAACCATTATTCTTTTGGGATATTAAAACTGATCCATTCTTTGAATTAGATTAGTCAAAAGCAAATTAGAAGGGCAAAGCGATTGTTGATTAAAGTGAACTTAAATAAGGAACAACTTATACCTAGGGTAACAGTAGAATTTTGACTGAATATTTCAAGAGAGTTTTATAAAAAGAGGATATAAGAGTTGCCTTTTTTGGAGATTAATATATATCTGATGTTTACTCTAGTTCTCTAAATGAAAATTGGGATGCTTTTGCTGTAGTGGAAGAAATGAACCATTACGATGATAGATATTGTGAAGGTGTTAGTCCATTATTAATGAAGTATGAATAATACTGGGGTGAGAGTTACTTCATTGAAAAATCCTTAGATGGAAAAAGAATTAAGAAGAACTATTTTATTAGCTAGGTAGAGGATTGTGCAAGATATATGCTGCCATTGATGAAAAATATTAATCTTATGATGGGTGATTCAGATATTTGATTAGAAAAATAACTTTTTATCAAATTAGACATTACTAAGCATAATCAAAAAATTGGTCTGGTGGGGTTTTGGGGTTTTGGGGTTTTGGGGTTTTGGGG